CATTGTTTAAAGTGCCTTCTAGAAGAACTCTTGTGAGAACTTTTCTCAACATGTCTCATGAATCAAAAAGCTTATTTGAAGAAAAAACCTTAAGTGCCCATAGAATTTGTCTCACTACCGACACTTGGACAAGCACACCAAAACACCAATTATATGGTTCTTACTTCACATTTTATTGATCATGAATGGAATATGCATAAGAGGATCATAAACTTTTTGTGTTATTCCTAACCACTATGGAACCACAATTGCAAAGTTAATTGAAAGTTGCTTGTTGGAATGGGGGATAGACAAAGTTATGACAATCACAGTGGACAATGCTTCCGCCAATAAAGTTGCTTTGGATCAACTTATGACGAAAATGAATAGGTGGGAAAATTCACAAGCTATTCTAGGTGGCAAGTATTTACATGTGAGATGCATCGCTCACATAACCAACATAATTGTGAGTCATGGGATGAAGAGGCTAAATAATGGTCTATTAGCTATAAGAAATTGTGTGAGGTTCGTGAGGAGCTCTCCACAAAGATTGGAGCTTTTTAGGCAAGCCGTGAATAGGGTGAAATTGACATGCAAAGCAACGGTTTGCCTTGATTGCCCGACTCGGTGGAATTCTACATTTGTTATGTTGGATGTAGCCTTGAAATTTAAGAAGGCCTTTGCTACAATGGCGGAGGATGAAGCAAGTCCCTTTTTGGCTTACTTTAAGGAAGTTGAAGATGAAAAAGATGAAGATGGTGTAATTATTGTTTGCCAAACCAAGGGGAGGAAAAGGGTTGGACCACCAACGGAAGAAGATTGGTCCAAGGCGGAGGTTTTTGTCAAGTTTTTACGGGTGTTTTGTTTTATGATGTGACTTTGAGGGTGAGTGCTTCTACACATCCCACGGTTCATACCGGCCTCCATGATGTCATAAAAGTGGAGACCGCCATCAATAACTTGGAATCCCGAGCCAACATGCAAGTGGGTTTACTGTCGGAGCAATTATTGAAGGCAATGGCATCCGATATGAGATCAAAATATGAAAAATATTTTGACTCATACCATGAATTGAACCCTCTTATTGTGATTGGACTTGTTTTAGATCCGAGGTTCAAGTTGAGGCATGTCACACAACTCTTTAGAAAGAAACTTTCCGACATTGAGGCACAATTGAAAACTGAAGAAATAAAAAATATATTGCGTGCCCTTTATGATGAATATGTTCCTAATGTTGAAGGTGGAAAAATACATGAAGAAATCGGAAAGTTTACAATCACAACCTTCTTCTACCTCATCTAATGTGGCTATGACGGAAGATGATCTAATTGATGAATGGATGCATTTTGTTGAAGATAGTGATGAGAAAGTGGTAGGAGATGATGTGGATTCTTATTTGTTTGATCCCTTGGTACAAATTACAAAAGAGGAGTCCACAAAAAATATTTTAAACATTCTCCTATGGTGGAAGGTGAATGGTAACAAGTATCCTATCTTGGCCGCAATTGCAAAAGATATTCTTGCAATTCAAGTTTCGACCGTGGCATCGGAGAGTGCTTTTAGCACCGGTGGTCGAGTGATTTCGGATTTTAGGAGTTCTTTAACTCCTAAATCGGTGGAGGCCTTGATATGCATGCAAAATTTGGTTGAGGGGTGATAATATTATTACTTTGGAGGATGATGCACCTTCAATTGACTACATTGAGTTCTATGAAAGTATTGAATCCGGTAAGTATATCAACTGAAATAAAAGAACTTTCTTTGTTTTCTTTTTTCAACTAAACATCAATTATATTTTTTATGTTTTGTATTGTGTAGAGTTGGCCAAATCGACTTCAAGCATTGCCTCTCTTACTCTTGATCAAGAACCACAACAAGCTCCAAAGCAATCTGAAGGTTCTAATTCACAAGAGCCTCCCCTTATGCGTTTACAAAGTGCAAGGTCTTCACAAGCTCAAAGGCCTCCTAAACCTTCAAAGAATAAGTGTCCAAAAGGAAAAGGAAAGGTAAAGGTTTGAAACTTGAACGATGCAAAGTAAGTTGAAAACCAAGATTTTGTTGAATTTCATGAACCATTTATTTTTTTGGTTGTACTAATGCCATAAGGCATTTGACATTGAACTTTGTTTGAAACTTTGAAGTTTGAACTTTAGTTGTATTATGGCAAACTTAACTTTTCAATTGGGTTGTAGTAACTATTGTGATTGATTGGTGATCAAGTTGAATTTTAGTAGATGTGAATTATGTGATGCGTTTTTGTGCCATTTTTTGGTGCAGTTTTGTGCAGTTTTGGTGCAGTTGTGGTGTAATTTTTGCTGCAGTTTAGCTGCTGTTTTTTGTGCAGTTTTGTGCAGTTTTTTGCTGCAGTTTCAGTGCAGTTTTTTGCTGCAGGTTTGGTACAGTTTCTTGGTGTTGTTTTGCTGCAGGTTTGGTGCAGTTTTTGGTGCAATTTTGGTGCATATTCATTAATTAATATACAAGGAAAATAAGACCATCTTATACATAAATATATGTATATTTTAAATTGTACATTTTTTTCTCAAAAACCAAACCGAAACCGTTTGAAACCGCACCGAACCGAACCAAACCGAACCAAACGGTTTGGTTTCATTTCGGTTTTGGCTTCAAAACCGCACCGCACCGCACCGCAAAAAGTTTCGATTTCGATTGTGGTTTCACTCAAAACCGCACCAAACCGCACCGCCCACCCCTACCCTGCAGTACCCCCAGCCTCACATTTCTCTCCACTTCCATATTTGACTTGTTAACCTGCCCTTACACCAACTTTGCCTTCTCCCACATCACCACCACAACATGCAGCCTCAACTTCAACTCCATCACCAAATCTGACTAGTCAACCACCACAACCTATTCGCCAGTCAGAACGCCTTTGAGGTCCTTCTACCTACCTCAAGGATTTTGTCTACAACCAGGCCGCATTGCAGGGACCCAAACAATCGTTGTCTTCGTTTTCAAGTCTCACACCAAGTACACGTTATCCGCTTTGTCATTTCCTTTCATACCATCGATATTCACCCAAACATTTGGCCTTTATTAGCCAAATCAGTCGCGTTGTGGAACCCCGTTCTTTTGCAGAGGCTAAATTTGATCCCCGATGACAGCAAGCCATGCAATCTGAAATTGATGCCTTGGAATCCACTAATACATGGACCTTTACCACTCTCCCTCCCGGGAAGCAACTCATTGGCTGCAAATAGGTCTACAAAGTCAAGCATCACTCTGATGGCTCTATTGAAAGGTTTAAGGTTCGTCTTGTTGCCAAAGGTTTCACCCAAACCGAAGGCATTGATTACCATGATACATTTTCTCCTACTGCAAAAATGACTATTGTTCGTTGCTTGCTTGCTCTTGCTGCTGCACGTAATTGGTCACTTAATCAACTCGATGTGAATAACGCATTCCTTCATGGTGATCTTCATGAAAAGATTTACATGTCTCCTCCACCTAGTTTTCAGCGGCAGGGGGAGAACTTAGTGTGTTGCCTTAACAAATCATTGTGTGGCCTCAAGCAAGCCTCTCGCCAATGGTTTGCAAAGTTCACAGAAGCTGTTCACGTTGCTGGTTATGTTCAGTCTAAAGCAGACTACTCTCTCTTCACTCATAAATGTGGAAAGTCTTTTACCGCCCTTCTGATTTATGTTGACGACATATTAATCACAGGTAATGATGAAAAAGCTATCTTTTCCCTCAAACAGTTTCTTCACACTAGGTTTCGTATCAATGACCTTGGGGATTTGAAATTCTTTCTGGGGATTGAAGTCTATCGTTGTATATGTATTTCATAAAGGAAATATACTCTGGATATACTCAAAGATGCTGGCTTGCAGGGTACACGACCTGTCAAGACTACTCCAGGTCAAGGCTTGTACTTTTCAGCAGAAATTAATCTAAAATTGAGAGCATAGTGACTCTGATTGGGGAGGCTGTCGACTCACTCGGAGATCCACTACTGGATACTGCATTTTTATGGGAAATTCATTAATATCTTGGTTGTCCAAAAGACAAAAGACGGTTTCACTTTCTTCAGCCGAAGTTGAATATCGAGCCATGGCAAAGACTAGTTGTGAACTCACATGGTTGCGATACCTTTTACATGATTTGCAACTACCTCATACTAAACCCGTGACACTTTTCTGTGACAACAAAGCAGCATTACACTTCGTTGCTAATCCGGTTTTTCATGAGAGAACACGACACATCGAGATGGATTGCCATTTTATTAGGGACAAGATTCAAGAAGGTTCAATTGTGACTAGTCATGTTCGTACTGCACAACAGCCAGCTGACGTGTTTACCAAGGCTTTGGGGGAAGTTGCTTTTACTGGAATTTTGCGCAAGTTATGAGTTCTTGACATTCACTCTCCAACTTGAGGGTGAGTGTTGGAAAGTCAATGAGATCTTACCTTATAAGGATTGATTTAGAAAAGAAATTGATTTGTAATTTATATGTAATTGATACATTAGTTAGTTTCCTTTGTTGTATAGCAAGATTGTAGGACCTCAGTTGTATAAATCAAGTTCATCAAATCAATGGAAGTAATCCTGGCAGAATATTTTTTTCCATACCAATCTTACAACCATGACAGTTAATTACCTACCCAAATCACCACCTCCGCCACCGTTGAAGCATACTGCTACTCCCCCTGAGTAATGTCACGTAGACAATTATATTAATCGCAAAGTAATAAAGTATATGTACTTACTCTGTAACTGAGTGCCAATTCCATTTGGCTTTGCAGTCGTACAAGGCTACTATTATATAGTCCATTCACCTCTGCAATTTTTACATGGAACTAAAAGGTCTGTATCAAGTTTCCTGAGCAAACTTTCTTTAGAAAGAAAGAAAAATACATTTATAAAATGTGTAAAATGAGTGTTTTGTTTTAAGTGTCAATAATAGCGGCTAAGCCTATTCCCTTCCCTTTAAGTGTAGATAATATCGTTTGTTCAAAAAAAAAAAAATTAATAGCGACCTAAATTTTATTCTAATAATGCCTCCGTCAAATTGCCTTTATCCTCAAAGATATGACCGTCGGGAGGACAGCTTCATACCTTGCCTTGTGTTGTTCCTCAGATTTTTGAAGAGAATATTCACTTATGCTTGTGAACACAGAGTTTCCTTCCTCCACTTGGTGAACACAGAGTTCTCTAACAGGAGAGGGAACCTGAAATCTGGTCCCTCCTGTTCCAGAGTGTTTCTCCTTGATTTGAAGCATTCCCTGGCTGATCAATTCATATAAATTTTCTTCTGCCACATCCTCCATAAACCGCCCTAATTTTTCTTGTACCAGTCCTCGGGCCACAAGTAATCGAATAAGTTTGCCTTTCGGAATCCCATAGTAGCCAGAGAGGATGGAGCAATACATTATGCAGTGTTGAAGAAATCCGGTAAGCCTCTGTAACATGTTTGCAGTGGAAGAGAGGAAGAAGAAGCAGACACAGGTCTCAACTTCTTCGCAGTTAAGTTTTTTTTTTTTCAGTTTCTCATTCAGTGGTATTTGAACTAGCTATATAGAGCTCTGCAAATTGTATTTGCATATACAGAGGACAAAGATAGCAATATATATAGGTGATAGATGCAAAGCGTGCTAATTTCTTACTAATTTCTTAGAAAGCTTCAAGGAGAGCAAACAAGTTGACGGATACTACAGAGCATATACATCGATCCAAACTGTTTTGATGAAACTTTCAGAGATGTCATGATGTAACGGATGCAAATTTGTGATGGTTGAGCTTTGTAAACTTAGATTTAATATAAAATTTTCTATACAATATAAGTTAAAACAAAATTAATTAATTTGGGACAAGGATGGAGTGGAACAACAAAGAGCCCGTTCGTTCAATGTTTAGAAGTATGAGAATAGTAATTGTTGATGCACAAAACTGGAAGGTCTTGAAACAACGTAAATCCGACCATGAATCTGCAAGAAAGTAAAGAACACAATGATGATATTGTTTCACTCTAAATGGTGAATATACAAGAAGGCTAGAGGCAGTGTGCTCTCTAGCCTATTTTCTGTGTTTGCCCTCTCTGAGATGTTTTCTCTCTTCCTATGGCCTAAACCTTGACCCCCCCTAATGAGGAGAGTGAGGAGTCCTTTTATAGAATAAGGGTTCCTCACTTATTACATATTTTCTCCTTCATTTATTACATAATTACATTTGAGTCCCCCGAGTATTTATACGAGGTCTAAATATGGAGGCCCTAAATATGGTACAAACAGTAGTCCCCCAAGTCTTCAGTCAAGAGAGCCTTTTGGCTGGAGACTTGAAATTCAGTCCATGTGTGGGCCGAAGTAACTAGATGTCGTCTAGAACTGATACTCGAGATAAGGCGATGCTCAATGTGAAATGATGCTCAACTAGAAGTAGCACATGTTGCGAGGCTGCTCGGCTTGTGGCTTATGTTGCCTTGGTTGGCTCGGCTTGTGGCGTTGAAGGTGAGAGAGTCCCTTTTATAGAATAAGGGCTCGCTCCTCAATACATAAATGATGGGCTAGAGTTAATGCTCGCGGCGAGGCGGTTGCTTAGCAGGCGGCGATGCTCTCTAATGATGGTGAGGGAGTCCTTTTTATAAAATAAGGGTTTATTCCTCAATACATAAGTGATGGGCTAAGAATCTCTCTCTAATGAAAGTGAGGGAGTCCCTTTTATAAAATAAAGGTTCGCTCCTCAATACATGAATAATGGGTGCTCTCTAATGAAAGTGAGGGAGTCCCTTTTCTAAAATAAGGGTTCGCTCCTCAGTACATAAATAATGGGCTAAGTCCCCCAAGTATTTTTCATAAGGCCCAGTTGCGGAAACCCAATATATGGTACATAGTGTAGTCCCCCAAGTCTTCAGTCAATAGAGTCTGTTAGCTGGATAATTCAAATTCAATCCATGTATGGGCCGAAGTGGCAGTTGTTCGGAGGCGGTTTTTGCATACCATGCACTGAAGCTTTGTAAGTGAAGCTTTGAAAGTCAGAGCTTTGTAAATAAAGCTTTAAAGTCAGAGCTTTTGTAAATGAAGCTTTGAAGTCAGAGCTTAGTAAATGAAGATGGAGCTCTTGTAAATGAAGCTTTCGAAGCTGGAGCTTTGTAAATGAAGCTTTCGAAGCTGGAGCTCTTGAAGCTAGAGCTCTGTAAATGAAGTTTTCGAAGCTGGAGCTCTATAAATGAAGCTTTCGAAGCTAGAGTTATGTAAATGAAGTTTTCGAAGCTGGAGCTCTGTAAATGAAGCTTTCGAAGCTGGAGCTCTATAAATGAAGTTTTCAAAGCTAGAGCTTGGTAAATTAAGCTTTCGAAGCTAGAGCTTGGTAAATGAAGCTTTCGAAGCTAGAGCTCTGTAAATGAAGCTTTCGAAGCTGATTGACATGAGTGATGCTCATGAATGTTTATGTTGATTGACATGAGTGATGCTCATGGATGTTAATATAAGTGATGCTCATGAATATTTATGTATGATTGACATGAGTGATGCTCATCTATGATGGTGATTGTCATAAATGATGCTCATGTATGATTGTTTTTTTTAGGACGGGTTATACTTTTAATCACCTGGTTGGTGATAATAACGGCAGGCTGCTGAATAATTTTGAAGTACTGGACGTACTGTTGATCACCTAGTTGGTGATAATAGCGGCAGGGGGAGAAGATACCACCCCTGGATTGAGGAAAAGTACTTCCACAGAAGATGCCATATCTACCTATGAGATAGATAAGGCAAGTGAAGACGATACCACACTTCGGTACTTAGAAGTTTCATGATTACTCAGCGGCTTGGATCTTACAAGTCCCTAACCGAGAAGCTTCCCTCACTCAGGAACTTAGAGGAGCACTGTTTTTACCATACTTGACCAATCCCGAAACTACTGAGCACTTGTCAACGTTATACCGTCAAGGACCCAGAAGAGTTTCCCTCCAACCAGGAGGCCAATCATAGCGCGACACGTGTCAACATCAGAAGCCAATCATAGCGCGACACGTGTCAACATCAGAAGTCAATCACAACACGACACGTGTCAATGTCAAAACAAAGCTAGAAACTCTCTTCTATAAAAAGAGATCATTCTCCCAAATATTTCCTAATGTCATTTGTACTAAATCATTCACTAGTACTCACTAAATGAGAGATTGTACCTATGTACTTGTGTAAACCCTTCATAATTAATGAGAACTCCTCTACTCCGTGGACGTAGCCAATATGGGTGAACCACGTACATCTTGTGTTTGCTTCCTGTCTCTATCCATTTACATACTTATCCACGCTAATGACCGGAGCAATCTAGCAAAGGTCACAAACTTGACACTTTTTGTTGTACCAAAGTCCACTGATTTTGTGCATCAATAGTAATCAAATTGAATACCCATGCATGTTTGGTCACACATGCTTAAAAATACGCTACATTTTTTGTTTTTTTTACAAGAAACGATAGCGATTTTTCATTACTGAATCATATGAGTTACCGGGGTTGCCATATAGGTCCAATCTCTAGTAACCAAATATTTTATCTAAAGGTAATTTGCACAAACAAATAATAATAATAATTCTCTAATTAACTACTACAGGCACACACACTATCACAAGAATCTGCTACATGAGTATGAACTTCCCACATAGGGAGGAATTTCATACCCTTGGCTCCCCTTTGAGAAATTAGTATCCCCCTCCAAAGGATACCACTTAATGCATTGCATGTTGACTAATTTACAATTTTTGGTAATTAACATACAATCTAGGATTAAACTCTATTTACTACCCTCATGTTTCGTGGTTTTCAACATTTAGTACATCAAGTTTTTTTCGTCCCAGAGTCATACCTAAAGTGTAAATTTTGGGACAGTCTCAGACATCTGTTAGTCAAACTATTAACTCTTTCGTTAACTGATGACGTGGCACCTACGTGGACAATGACTGGGCATCACGTGTCATTAAAAAAATTTTAAAAAAAATTAAAATAATTAATTAAATAAAAGTAAAAAAAAGAGAAATTCCCCAGATCCCCTTTGTCTTCCCCACCCCGACTCCCCTCCCCTATCCCTTTTTTACTCTGCAACCCCTACCCCCATTGAGAACAAACTGGTACTGAATCAGCAAACCAAAGTCAATCTCATGGGCACCTTCTCCATGTCGGCGTCTCCCAACCCATCCGCCAATATTTGAATCACCCTCTTGAATGCGAACGTCGAATCAGACGATGAAGACGATGAGGACTCATCCCAATTATTCCCTCCAAACCCATCGAAATTCCAACCTCGCCGCCGCCTCCACTGCCTCTCCATCCTCCGTTGAAAAACAGACCATCGCCGTCAAAAACCCGCAGTCTTCCTCGTCTCCGTCGTTAGAATCATCGCTGCTTGAAGGTCTCCGTCTGGTGCGGCGTTTTTTTGTGGATGAGGATTCGGGTTACGATTTTGGTAGAGTTGGGCCGGGCACGGGGCGGAGCGACAACGTCGAAGGGAAAAATAACGGCAAAGATCTGGGGGACTTAATTGGAAGACGAAGGCTGGTCGGGATAAGTGTCGGTGATGGTGATTTGATTGTTAGAGGTGAGGTCATGGTGACGAATTAGGAACGTCAGGGAGACAGTGCGAGGGATGATGAAGGGAGAGGTTACAGAGGTAGGGGTTGCAGAGTAAAGAAGGGATAGGGGGAGGGGAGTCGGGTAGGAAAGATGGATGTGCAGAGGTACAAAGGGAGAATGGAGGGGAGTCGAGGTGGGGAAGACAAAGGGAATCTGGGAATTTTTTATTTATTTTATTTTATTTTATTAATTATTTTAATAGTTTTTATTTTAATTTTTTTAATGACACGTGGTGCCCAGTCATTGTTTACGTGGGCACCACGTCATCAGTTAACGGAAGAATTAACATTTTGACTAACGGATGTATGAGACTGTCCCAAAATTTACACTTTAGGTATGACTCTGGGATGAAAAAAAACTTGATGTACTAAATGTTGAAAACCACAAAACATGAGGGTAGTAAACAGATTTTAACCGTACAATCTAATTCATACAAGGGTGTTCTTAGAAAACTAAACAAATGTTCCCATTACGGTGTAAACTAAAACTTGGGCATGCAACATTTTCAAACACAAAAATGGATATTTTTCATTCTCATTTCTGGATAATAGACTTAATTCGCAAAGGACCCTGATAGTTAAATGGCCTTCCTACCGACCTACCTCCTATCTTAAGAGAGAATTTTCAGTGTGACCATCATACGGAGTGGTACACCACATGACGCTATATAAATGGTGGGATATGTGTGTTAAAAAACTAATAACTTAAAAAATAAAATTTCTCACCACTTACATAAAAACACGTGGTGTATCATACGTGTTAATGTCACAACTAAAAACTTCTCCCATCTTTAGGTTAGTTGGGCCCTTCAATTTGGGAGGAAAAACTGACCAAAAAA